AGTAATACATCTTTTATCTGCGAACGTGATAGCAGGTTTTGTTTTTAAAAAAGTATTAAATTCGCTGCGAAAGCTGAAAGATTGGAGGAAAATATTTGAATATTTTCAAAGATCAAGTGCAAAGAGGAAATGAAAAGAAAAAAATTCCTGAGAGATAAGTTAAACCAGTTGATGAAATTACGCTACCAATCTCCGAGGAAATATTAATTTTATTTTTTTCTCTTTCATTTCGAAACGCAAGCGTAATTTTTCCCCGTTCTTTCGAAGGCAAAGGAAAAAATTCTCTGGCTCGCACAGGCCGGGTCGAGTCGTACGGATATTCCAACACTTTGCAGAAATTTCCATCACTCTTCCCCTTTGTTTTTCCTGCAAATGTTTGGCCGATCGATCGCGAAAACGTTCCCGCAACGCGTGCCGTCAGACAACCCCGTCATCCTGAATGTTCAACCTGGACATAATCGTTAGGGTTTGTAGCGTTGTATCTTGTTTTACAATTTCCATTTTAAAATTACAAATCTCTAAGAAGAATTAACAAACTTCGATAGTGAAAAATACAACGAACAATTGTACTAACATTCTTCAGGAGAATTGAAGTTGATGATATTTGATTATTGATGATAATTAATCAATTATGTATTCATTTATGTAGTTTCTACAAATCATTCAACCAAATTTTCTACTTCTGTTTTATAAAACCTTTATTATAAATAGTTTTTAGGCTCGAAAATTAAAAAAAAACCACGTGTCTATGAAATGAATTTCTCTGAAATAATTTCACTGAAATAAGGGAATTCTCTACCTCGACGTTTCTTTAATCTAATCCGATATTCGAATTTCGTAAGTCTCTAACCTTCCAACGAAAAGAAAAGACATCGCAAATCTGCCTAAAACATCTCGATTGTTTATTTTATATAAAGTCGCACGTGTCTATTTTCAACCCGAGATAATACTCCAATCTTAACTTTAACTAACTTAATCCTAAACTTTAATGTACCAATAAAAAGAAGAAAAAAGAAACAAAAAAAAAAAAAAAGGCGAAAAGGATAAGAAAGGTTTAAGAAAGTTTCTAAAGAAAACCGACGAGAAAGTTTCCAAATAATGTACGAGAATTTTAAAGGCAACTGGTTACGAGGTTAAAGAGACAACACGGAGGAACGCGAAAGATGAATGGAGAGTAACATCCGGGCGATGAGACGTATCCTAGCGGCGTTGAAACGAAGAACGAAGACAGTCTTTGGTTTCTGGCCTGCGGATGCTCGCTAATCAAATAGAAATTGAATTTCCATTAATAATAGGCCGCAACGTGGTAACGTGATTTCCGGGCATATTGAGCGAGCTTGGCAGGCGCGCGAGAATGATAAAGCTTTTGTCTTAAATGGAGGATAGAGTCGGTGGCACGGCTGTGTTACCGCGCGGATCCAGCAAATGGGATTAAAACGATAGAACGCGTCGCTCGACCGCCCTTAAGGATACCGTTAATCCTGCTTACCTCGTAGAAATTTTCTGTTTACACGTGTACTCCCACCGACCAGCTAAAATTCTCTTTCCTCCGAATAAGACCAATTATTTTAGAGAATCAAATGTCGCAGCTGTACAGCTTATGGATAACGCGGTTATTCATGGGATGTCAAGAATTTGATCTGTACAGAGATCTATATAGTATCAAATGTTATTTAAGTAGAATTGTCTCAGAAATCTATGATTTTGAACAGTTGTACTAATGTTATTAATAGTACTATGTTAGTAGTATTAGTATTGTTAATAGATTTGAATAATGATATCGTCGAATATTAATAAATGTGAAGGATTTACGTAGTATCGGATATCATTTAAATAAAATTGTTAACGTTGACGAATTTAGATAGTAGTATTGATATCGCTAACAGGTTTCAGGGCTATTGGTATTGTTAATAGATTCGAATAATATCATTGTTTGATTACTGTACTTGTCTAAGCATCGATTAATTAACTGCGATTCGCGAGCGTTTTAGCGATTACAATTTTCTAAAGTTTGAAGAATGATACGTAAAAGTGATCGCAAATTGAATCCGTGAAATTAAAAACTAGAGTCGTTTCGTAGATGACAAGGATACCTAGGATATTAGGATAGAAGGATATCTACAATATATTCGATATACAAAAGATATAAAATGTGTAAAGTACTCGTGATGATATTATTCCACCGAAAGTTGAACGACTTGTCTTGGAGAAGTTAAACTGCGAACCACTTTTAGCCGAAGTAATTGATCCAACTTTTACGTAATAGGACATTCGTAGATGGATATTCATCTTGAAAGACGAAGAATATATTTTCGCAAACTTGTCGCAGGAGTATAGTACAGATAATCGCAATGTCAATTTTTACAAATAGCGCGATGTTATCTTTTCGCGTGTCTCGTTTTATGAAGTCGGTCAGCACGACTTCCGAACGGCTCGTATATTTTCTATTTCGTCATCTTTGCTATTTTTACCACTTTCGCCAAATTATTCGCGAAACAACGCGCTGCATAAAACTCAACTTGCATCTCATTTGAACGACGCGCAAAGTTTCCATCGAAACGCAACACCAACCAATTAGACAGGGCGCTTCGGGCTATGATTTCAACCGGAAGCCAGCGAGTGTAGAGGGTTAATTTAAATTAACTTCATTTATGGGGCGCGTTGTTGCTGGCCTCGTATCGACAGAATCGAATCTGTCGACCGGAGGATTTCGTTGAATATATAACCAGATAGAAGTAAGTCATTAAAATGCACGTTGAATGCGCTTCGAGCTGACCTAACGGTCGACCAGCGCAATTATGTAACACCGTTTGAAATTGTTAATGAGTCCGCTTTCATTATCACGCTCATTAAGGCTACAGCTGTGGTTATAGTCGCGGGGAGAACGAACAGACAGGAAAAAGAGAGACGCCTAGGCGCACAAGCTGTCGCTCAACCAGTCACAAACCGATTCTAATTGAATACAATTTAACCGTGAAATCAACGCAAAACCGTCGCGTTCACTGGATTGTTGCACCAGATCTATCGGCATTCGCTTCGTCTTTCGTTACGCGATCGATCGCTGCTGGAAATAGCGTTTAGGATTGCACAGACGAATTGTGCAATTATTTTTATTTGACGGTAGTACTGAAATAGGCGACAAGAATTTTAGACGTTCGGATACCGAACACCTCGTTCGAATTCTAATCTCTTATTCGTTTAAATATTTACACAAATCTCTACTTTCCAGTAGCGGAAGTGTAGAGGTTGTTTAGTCGTGTTCAACTCACGTCGGGGCTGATTTGTAGAGGTTTATGTGTAGAGGATGGTTGGTCGGTGAGATTTAGTGGACGAGATTGCTCGTTGTTGAAACCGTCGAATATATTTAAAATGATAAATTAGTATACAGATAATGTTCGCAAAGATGCTCGTACTAACCGATTCGCTAAGACAGTGCATGAGTCGTAAAATAGGATCGCAGAATAGGATAGAATTAATTAGATCGCTGATAATTCGTTGATAACTGGTTGATAACTTATCGACAACTGACTGTAACTCATTTCCTTGCGATCGCGTCCGCTTATTTTTATACTGGTCGAGGGAGAATCGGAAAATTTAAATTCGTCTTTGTTCGACGACATTATTTTGTACGGAGTTTATTTATTGTTGCATTACGCGTATCCTAATGATCTTGATACTCCGAGGCAAAACAACAACATGATTTGAATTGTCCTGTAACTCACGTATCGCTACAGAAGTATAAATATTCGTCTGCAAAAATCATAAAATCCCAATCTAATTCTTCTTTCTAAAAATTCCGAACCTTATTGCTCATTTTGAATATTATGAAATTCTAGTCGATATTTCACGATGGAAAATTCGCTGTAAATTTCCTATGGATCACTTACGAGGAAGGTTAGGTAAATTAAAAAGCTTATGGAACTTTCCGCACAAGTACGTCATCCGTAATGCAATTTTATTTTTCGCTGATGGATTTTTCAAAAAATTGTTTACGCAGTTTACTAGCCCACGCAATGAAACGTTGCTAAACTTTTCTTCAGATGTCTTTCACCAAATATTTCTCAAACGAGAAAGTTCTGAATTGTTATCGGGTATGTTTATGGTGATTCCAGCCCTTAAAATCGAATTACGACACCAACGAAAAATAGTGTCGTATTACAGATGACGCACTTTGCTTGTATGCAAAGTTTCATAATTTTTTGAAGTTTGCATGACTTTTCTTGTTAATACCATCAATTACTGCGACAAGATCGTGCAAAGAAACCCGAATGACTGATATGGGTATCAATAAAATTATCGACGCCGTTTATTATGGGAGTTGCTCATCTCATTGATTAATTCGCACCGCGCTATTCACTCGCGCTTCTTTACAAACCTTCTGCCATTTATTAATTCGTATTCCTGTTTTTGTAGTGAGTCTTGTTGTTCTGCAGTACCACTACGCGTTTCTAATCTACGATCGCGATAAAAACCTCGTCTTCTTGTCGGGGTTTTACCTTTTTCCTTTCTTTCCGTCTCCTTCCTTCGTTAGCTGGCACCGTGTTCTCGAAGGAAAAACGCGGCAAAGCCACGATTCCGACCGGCAAACGCTGTTATAACGCGAAACAGATGGCCGGAAGAGAGAAAGAGGCCGATTATTTTTGCATCGACGATCTTGCAGCCTCTGTTCCTTTCTTTTCTTCTTATCCCGGATATAGAATTACGAGCTGCAATTCATCGATGAAAGTGTTTTTCAATTATTTCCCACTTGTTTGATATTTGGAAAGATGATTTTCATCGATACGGTTAATAAAAAGGGATTGTTATTATTAAGGGAATAAGATAAAGGGATTATTTCGAGGCAGAAAAGTATTATTAGATGAACTGAGTAATTGATAACTGATAAACGAAGCGTAATGTCTATCGCCGTTACTTGTACCCTGCTGAAACTAAAATAGTGAAAGCAAAGAAGAAAATTCGTGGCAGAATTTGTCTAATTTCTTGAAAATTTTCTTTCGCAGATGGACAAACAGTGCCGACGCTGTGCGAACTCGCCGCGCGATGTGTCGCCTCTCACATCCCGTTCGAACTGGTGGAGCACGTTTATCCACCGGTTCCAGAGCAATTGCAGCTCAGGATAGCGTTCTGGAGTTTTCCGGACAACGAGGAAGACATCAGACTCTACTCTTGTTTGGCGAACGGAAGCGCGGACGAATTCCAGCGTGGAGAACACTTCTTCCGGTCGAGGAGCGTCAAAGATCCCCTACAAATCGGTAAGCGATCCACAAACTTCGAGTCAATTATCCATTTTCTATCTGTTTTCGTATTGATAAAAATTTGTTCAGATTTTTACTGATACTGGTATTCATCGCAGGTATAATAAGAATTTATATCGTAGCGATATTAAATACTAATTCGTATCTTATATTTTACACGGTAAGAGTAATTTATTATCTTTATCGAGTAGTTAAAACTATCAAAGTGAGAGTAGAACGTTTCTTTTGTGACCGCGGTTCTGTCGTATCGCTTATATAACCACACTACTGAATGTCTGTTCACTTCCGTCTCATACTACTGCCGCGCAGTCGCGCCAGAGAAATCGACCGTAATTCCATCTCGATTTTCATTGTTTTTAGCGTATCGCAACTTTTCGACCAAATATCAATATGACAAATTAATTTCTTTAATTTTAATTTTAAGCAAATAAATAAAACGCAAAATAAGAATACAGCGAAGCTCTGTGTAATATGGAAGACATGTTTCGCTTATGAAAGTGAATCATATCAGTTTAAACCATAGGTGTCCTATGCATACGCAAATAGGAGGTAAATGTTGCATTTGCAGAGAAAGGAAAGAAAAAAAGAAAAGGAAAAATTATTAGACCTCCCAAAATATTTTTATCTAACAAGTTATACATTTACATATGTGTAAATGTTTGTTGAATTTTACGTACAATGTCGCAATTTTGTGTTACGTTATACCAATATTTTTTACTACACTGGGTTCTTATAATAAATAAACTTTTACTTAAACAGAGTCTCGATCAACGCCAGTGACTATCATCAAAGAAATTTTCTAGCAACAATAAGATTGAAAAAATAATGATACAAATGGGGAATTGTTCCGACGTTTAATTGATCTTATTAAATTCCTTAACCAGCGGAAGTGTTTCTCGTTATCGACTTTCAACGTATATTACATTCATTTCAGCGGCCGCTTACAGAGGGGAAATTCCGCGACACTATTTTGGACAGGGAAACGTCAGGGTCAGATTTCCAATTACGTCTATCCCGTCGTGTTTCCCGTTCAAAAGGGAAGCCTCCAGGCAAATCTATGCCCGCTGGCTGTAGAACTTCACATAATACCTCTTTCATTCATCAAATAAAGAAACTGGTCAACTTTCGAACGCCTGAATCGCGATACTGTGAAGCCATTTCGAGTTATCGGTGTAATAACCGGCGACGTCTAAATGACAAGCTGAATGATCGTCGAGCGATATCCATTAATCCTCGATTCTTCTTACATTCCATATTTCTTCGTTTAGGTTTAATCACATGAAATATAGTATCACATGAAATTTCCTACTTTTATATTTCTATTTTTCTAATCAAACACTCCTATCGGCTTTCAGAAGCTTTTCCATTCGTTGGAAATTGCTTCATTCAATTATCGTCATCTTAGAATTGTTCGCAAATCTTGTACATCTTGAAGTCTAAGAATTCCATTGAAACAACGAGATAATTCAGAAGGTTGTTTTATAGTAATCGCTCGATTATATTATTTATAAATAATACATTTATTGCTTTATACATAAACTTAAATTTTTCTATTAAAAAATTATCTGTATGTTGATCAATTTTTAACTCATTATTTTTCATTTTCATTTTACATACAAATAAAAATTTATTTATTCTATTAATATTTATTTATTTATTTACATTTTCAACTTTAATTTATTTTTTTGAATTTTATAATGTAAGTAATACAGATTTTAGAAATCTTTCATCATATTCATATTACTTATTTATTATTTTATTTTTTATGCATTCATCATTCCCATTATATACAACATTTATATTTAAATGAGAATTTATTTATAATTTAAACTTGAGTTTTAGAAATAATTTAATTATTTTATTCTACTTAAATATCTTATCTTAAAATTTAAATTTAATAAAATAAGAACAAATCTTGGAACGCGACGAAAGCCAGCTTCATCCGTACTTTTTGCTAAATTTCATTGAAACAATAATTCAGAATGTATAATACATACAGTAGAAAGATTTTCAAATTTTACCGTTTTCAAAATCGGCAGACTTCGCTAGAGAAATAATTCGCAACGCGATTCATGCAAATTATGTGCTCGAAAAATATATAGCGAAGTAAGTCTGCTTTTAATTTCGTACTTTAACCATTCGACTTTAATACTAATCGTCTAATTCTAATGGAATAACCTAGGTTTCTAGTGCTTTGACTATGACTCTAGAATTTGCCAAGAAATAGAGCATTCTGAACGATTCTCCAGCTAGTTCCGCCCAAGCGCACGTTTCATCCCTTCGTCCTATTCACAAAATAATCTCACAGACAAGGAAGCTTCTATTCGACTAGCGAATCGACGTTCACGAGGAAGGTGCTTGGAGGATCCACGACGAAGCGTTGGAATTTAATCCTTAATTTCATTGTTTGACCAAGCTGTTCCTGGCTGGTTAATTTCCTCGAGCTAATTTGCGCTACGCTCTGGATATAAACCGACGTCTTCCTCTTTGTGTTCCGTTGTGTTGGCTATCCATGACCCCGGGCGTTAGTTTCTTAATGCGCCCGAAACGACGTCTTTATCTCTTCGGTCCGTTTAGGAACCTCGTATCCAACTTCTTGTCGCTGTGTCATCTTCTTGTTCGTAGTTCTAAGTCGAGTCTCCTTCGTGGCTATTAAAAGTTATAAGATTTCTCCAGGGAATTCTTTCGACCAACTGTTAAAGGAATTTGAGAAATAATCGTTGTATGTTCTTCAACTTTTTCGGATATGAAATTATTAGCCTGAGAAAAATTGTCTTTTTTTTTGATTAATTATTAATAATAGGAACGTATCGTTTCTTATGTTTTTGCCAAGGAGACATAGCGCGCTGTGATTTTTAAAGTACAACGTTACGCTTATGGGCTAAGATCGTAAGAGAATAATTATTTATTTGAACAAAATATGGTAATTTTTGGTGAAAGGATTTTAGGAATATTCTTATTTCATTGTTTTTATGTTGCAGGGTTCCATCTGAGCGCCACAGTAAATTCACAGGGGTTGCTGAACGGGGTAAGATCACAGTTCAATGTGGCTGTGACGTTCGATCGACGGAAGATCACGTCGTGCAACTGCACTTGCTCCTCTAAGGCCTATTGGTGCGCTCATGTGGTCGCCGTATGTCTTCACAGGATACACATGGTAAATAAGATTATCCTGCAAACGTTTTATCGTCAAGAAGTTCTTTAATTCAGTAAAATATAACATTCAGCTGCAAAACCAGTAACTTGAATAACAATTATTTTCTTCGTCAAAACGGCAAGTCTCGGAGGAATTTTATTTAATTAAAGCACACGCTATATCAGTCGATTTTATTATAAACGAGAATGAAGACAGAAGTACTTTTTCATTTCTTCCGATAATTTCAAATTATCGCTTTTTCATTCCAGAAATGACGATCGAATTAATTCGTTGCAAAAGAAGAACAAAAGAAAATAGACATATTTATATTTTGGATAATTAAAAATTTTTTTTAAATTTGATTGGAGATGTAAAGGGTTAATTGACACGATCGCAAGACCTAAAATTAATTGTTTGTACTCAGCCGACACAGGTGTGCCTGAGAGCTCCAGTTAGCGAATCCTTGTCACGTTTGCACCGGGAACAACTGCAAAAGTTCGCGCAATATCTCATCAGCGAGTTACCACAGCAGATTTTGCCCACTGCCCAACGATTGTTAGACGAGCTGCTGTCGGTTCAACCGAGTACCATCAACAGTTATTGCGGTGCCCCGGATCCCACGGCAGGTGCCTCAGCCCACGATCAAACGTCTTGGTATCTCGATGAGAAGACACTGCACGACAACATCAAGAAGATCCTCATCAAGTTCTGCGTGCCCGCTCCGATTGTCTTCAGGTCATTATTGTCGCATTATCATTCTTCGTTATTTCATCGTTCATCTTTATTATTGTTTCTTACTGTTTCTTATTGCGTGCTGCTGTTACTAATCATCGTTGATCGTTCGTTCTTATTGTTAACCTCGTGTCCGAGTTCTACAATTTTTGTTACACTGCTATTTATTTTTTACACAGAACAGCTGAAGCTTGCAATTTTTCATAGAATCAAAGCTGCAATGAGAGACATTTCTTGTATCATGAGTTCTGAACGTATCCCCATTTCTATGCAGTGGGCGCGATGAAATTCTCACTTAATAATTACAACGTTGAAAATTGATTTACTGGAACGTAGTGTTCCAAATGCATCAAATTTTGTTGTGAGAAACGAATTAGTGGTTATCCCGAATTAAACACTCTCAGCAATTTTGTCTGTTACCCGATTCATCGAATTATCAAATTCCTAAATTACCAAACTATGAAATTCCTAAATTTTCAAATTAATAATATACCAGATAATGATAATTTATATAATAATATACCGGTAATAATTTACCAAAACGGAGAAGCATATATGCAAGTAATTTCGAAAGAATATCTTTTTACCTCTCTGTCTTCTAAAATATTTCCATTAAACTTCAATGTCTTTTACATTACATTCTTAATTACAGCGATGTTAATTATCTAAGCACCACTGCGCCTCCTGCAGCCGCCGAGTGGTCCTCGTTGCTGCGACCGTTGCGTGGTCGCGAACCGGAAGGCATGTGGAACTTGCTGTCGATCGTGCGCGAGATGTTCAAGAGAACCGATCGCAACGCTATACCATTGTTGGAGATCATCACCGAGGAGTGTATGGCATGCGAGCAGATCCTCGTGTGGTGGTTCAACACAAAGGTAGCTTTGTTGAACGGAACCGGATATGGCGGTAAGCACAACATGAACAGCAATGTGCACGCCTCGCAGCACGCCTGCTCGTCCCTCTGCGATGAGATTGTCGTCCTATGGCGACTGGCTGCCTTGAATCCTGGATTATCGCCCGCCGAACGAGATATGCTCCACGGACAGTTTACTGCTTGGCACATGAAGATCATCGACAAGGTATATACAGCATCATGGTCTTCATTAGTTGGAAGTTACTGCGTGTCTGACTAAGGACGGTCCGTTTCACTTACTTTTACTCGATTTACTTCGTACGCGTCTTTTTCCATGAGAAGAAATGAAAAAGGAGAATTTATTCTTTAATTTAGGTTGATGTAAATTAAACGATTCAAATAATTGATAGGAGAAAGAGCGACGATTGAAGTGAATTACGAAGCTTAAAATCATCTATATACTTTATTTTTATGTATATGAATATTTTTTCTAAGTATATAACATTTGTTAATATATATTAAATTACTCAAATAACCGAAGAGTGAGAAAGTTCGTTTCACTTTGTACATGTATGTATGAATATTATAGCGTACAAGTTCTAGTCGTTCTATATTTGAGATATTTGTTATATAGAAAGTTAGATAGCTTTTATTAATTCCGGTACAAAATCTATGTCTTTGAATTGAAACAGATAATGCCGGACTTCTTTATTTCTTGTTAAGGTAACAAAAAGTCGGGGCAGTTCGGTGACGCACAATTCACATAACAGAAATAATGGCGGTGGTCACAAGGATTCATTGAAGAACGACCTGGCTGTGTTCACCGGATTTAAATCGGCGCTCGAGGCGTGCTATCTGGATTGGGAGGAGTACACCTTGCCTGGTATCACGTACACCGCCGGAAGCAATCCCATGTATCATTGTCCATTCACCTGCTTTCGGCATGCTGGCGATACTAGGACCGAGGTGAACCAGGTCAGTTCATTAATCCAACCCATTTTTTCAAATGAAGCTCCTGCTACATAGAATAAAAAGAAATTCTATAAAAAAAAAGTGTCTGTTTTAACCTTTTGGTATACGTGCGACTTTTTCAAACATACAAAATAGGAGATTTTTAAAAATTAAACAATCCTTTTCTCCCTTTTCTTAATATAAATACATATTTTTTGTTATATTAAACTTCTAACATAAAATACATTTTTAAACGTTAAAAACGTAGGTGAATTCGAGTGCAGCCGTGTTAAACTGTCAACCGCCCGTTTCCCATCACCATGGTCGACGACCATTGAGTTTAGGCCTGGTAGAGTTTAGTTATATGGATAGAAGGCGGCTGAACCCGCGGGAGTGTTCAGGACTATGTTCACGAAGCGGTGGCGGTGATGGAAACCGAAGCAGCGTCAGCTCAGAAGGTTTCTGCGAGAATGAGACCGACATGCCCGACATTGCTGAACCTCAAGTAGTTCTCGTTAGAAGATCTTGCGCTCAACTAAATAATTGCGGGGATACAGACTCGCAGGTTTGTATCGAGAAATAATTCACTCTCGAATGTCGAGATTAACTTGATGTAGGCTTGCAAAGATCTGTAAAAAAGATTATAGAACGTTAGAAAAAAAGATTAAATTAATTGTAAGTGCAGTTAATTATCATATTACTGTAATCGCTATAGAAATGAAAAATTGTAGGAGGGTGGTGGCAGCGAGTCGTCCTCGAACAGTAACGTCAGTCTGAAGAACGCTCAAAACTCGGACAAGCACCGCTCAAATGCTTCGTCCGAGACCCATAGTGATAGTAGTGATAGTAGTAATAACAAAGCTGCCTGCGATGCGAAGTGTAGCAGGACGAATCTCGACTATCGGGAGAAATCGCGAACGGTGTTGCCTAAAGGAAATAGTTCGAAGAGCGAGCAGGAGTCTGACCTAGAAAAGGATCCTTCCAGAAGACCATCTAAGGACGAGAGCTCTTCGTCGAGTAGCGACAGCCCGTCTGGTGACGAGTATCATGTTTATTATTATGATCCTAAAGCTGTGGTGAATGGCGCTTCGGGCAAAGACTCCAAGAATGAATCACAATCAACGTCTACTGCAAACGCGAGTACAGTGTTGGGCAATCTAATGAAAACAGAAGATCCGTGGGACATCCTATTCGCTAGGGCTGAGGGACTCTACGCTCACGGCCACACGAGGGAAGCTTGTATTTTGGGTGTTCAACTTGGCGAGGAACTGTTGGCTAATCCACCAAATCTCATGATCGATGAACCTCCGGCGCCGGTGAAGGGGAAAAAGAAGAAGGTAGATTCATTGGAAAGACTTGGTTTCGTTTGTTCAATTCAGTAAGGCCCTGTTCCAATTGATCAGAGCTAGTAAGTGCGTAACGAATACAACGACAATGTTTTAGCAACAAGTAAACCCGGCGTCCCATCAGCTCACGTGCCTTGCGTCCGCCACCTTGGCCAAATGTTGCTTCCTGTGCACGGTCCTCGCGGAGAACCCGGAATACTACAATCTAGCGTTCAGGGTTGGCTTGTTTGGTCTCGAGATGGCTAGACCACCTGCCAACACGAAACCGTTGGAGGTAAATTAATGTATTAGTAAGATAGTTGACTAGTAAGTGAACTGTGGGTCTTTATGCATTTATGAGCGATATGAAGATGCAGAAATGCACATAGTGCATATAACATACACAAAAATAAACATTTACGATCTGATTGATGTTGTAGGTTAAATTGGCTCATCAGGAAAGCGAGTTAGTTGGATTATTAAAGAAAATCCCACTTGGTCCAGCTGAATTGGCAATGGTTCGGCAAAGAGCGGAACAACTGAGAGACGGAGTACTAAGATCCAGAGGTCACGCGTTGCTTCCAATCATGTTGGCTAGCTTCATATTCGACGCCCTTAACACGTCAAGTACGCACTTTTTTTTAAAGCTTTTCTTCTCTGAAATTTGGTCGAGTAAAGAGATTTTGCGCGATTCGAATCGAGGATGAAGGATATCTTCTTTCAGACAAGAAAGAGTTAATGATTAAATAGTGTAGACGGAAGGTAAAAGATTGTGGAATGATTCGCAGGAGTAAAACACCTGTCCTCAGACGTTGACGAGAATCTTGGGTTCGACGCGGCCGTTGCTGCTTTGGGCTTGAAGGCGAATGTGAGCGAAGCTGATCATCCTCTTCTTTGCGAGGGAACTAGACGCCAGAGGTATTTCACAGTCATTAATTTCATATGTTTAAATTTGATCGATCGGTTTTGTTCTTTGAACTTTGTAACTAAAATAATAACTATTTGACAATTTCAGAGGAGATTTGGCCATCACATTGCTTGTTCACTACAAGGATGATCCTACAAAGGTAGCGAGAATCATGGATAAATTGTTGGATCGAGATGTTCATCAATTGATTAAGTCACCAATCCTTAGTAGCTATTATACCTCTAATCCTCCAACTAAGAGTGAGGTAAGAAAGACTCTTTGATTTATAACTTTTCAATAGAGAAGAAGTTTGAGACTTCGGTTATATCTGTTTTAGATGACAAGATATCTTCATGACGAAGAGTGTTCTTCTCCCCTTGCTAGAATGGATGCTGGAAATGGTGATAGTGTCGTTGGTACCAGCAGCAGACCACATAGCAGTACCAGTGCAGAATTGGAAAGTGGTATGAGTGCACTCACGGTTCAGACACAGATCGTTCAACAACCTGTGCCTGCAAGAGCTAAAGAAACAAGGTCTGTAAATATTCATTAAAAGATCAAAGAATGCTATAAAGCTCTCGAGAATGCTACAATACTCTTTCAAATTCTATTATAGATATAAAAGCAAGAGAGTATATCCATCAATCCCCAACCAGCCATCAGAAGCAGGCGCACACTTTATGTGTGAGTTGGCAAAGACTGTTCTCACAAAAGCTGGTGGTAACAGTTCCACCTCTTTATTCACGCAAGCATCCACGAGTCAGAATCATCATGGACCACACAGAGCTCTCCACATGTGTGCTTTTCAACTTGGTCTCTACGCTCTTGGACTTCATAACTGCGTCACTCCTAACTGGCTCAGTCGTACCTACTCCAGTCATGTATCCTGGATCACTGGTCAAGCGATGGAAATAGGAGCACCAGCGATCTCGTTCCTAATCGAAAGTTGGGAGGGACATTTAACGCCTCCTGAAGCTGTTGGTATAGCCGACAAATCGTCCAGGGGAAGCGATCCTAATATGGTTCGAGCAGCCGCAGAACTTGCTCTGTCTTGCTTACCACACGCTCACGCGCTCAATCCTAACGAAGTACAGAGGGCCATTTTGCAGGTAAGCACTTTATAATTCTTATTAGACATTGATTTACTTTTAATGAGAGAGTGTTTGATTATATTTTGGTTGTTTTATTATAGTGTAAGGAACAAAGTGATCTGATGTTAGAGAAAGCTTGCATCACGGTGGAGAACACGGCAAAGGGAGGCGGTGTTTATCCAGAAGTACTGTTTCAAGTGGCCAAATATTGGTACGAGCTGTATCTCAGGGTAAGTATCTTTAATTAGTGAAATAGATATTTCATAAAAGAAGAATTGATTAATTTAATCTTGGTTCGTATATTTAGCACACTCCTGGTGGAGAACAGCAAGATGATATGCCACACGATCCTCTTCAACTAGATCTTAACGGAGTGCTTCTGGTGGAATCTGGTCCTCCAGTGGACATGACCACTGCACAAATGATGCCTGGACCAACTCAAACGGTTGTTGTGACCAGCACACAACCTCCTCCTCAACCATATCCAACGCATCCAACTATAACCACGCTAGCGCCTTTAGGTGGGTTCTTCAATTCTTTTGTTCATTTTGTTTCGAGTATTTCACAGATTATATAAATTTTAATTATCTTTGTTTGATTGCAGGAGTTGGTATGCCATATGCAGTGAGCCCTTACAGTTTTGTGCATCCTCACCATTCAATTCCGACCTTTGGTGGACCAATGCCATCACATAGGGTAACTCTACCACCAGCACCACCACATATGCAAATGTATCATGCGGCATTTCCGCCTCATCCGGGTCATCCACAGCATCCGCAACATCCCCAACATCCCCAACATCCTCAGCATCCACCACATCCGCCACATCCACAGCATCCGCAACATCCTCATCATCCGTCACAATCTGCGCAACCACCATCGCTGCCGCCATATTACACGTCGCAACCGCAACCACCACCGGGAACTCATCATTTGTTCACCATGCAACAGCCTATGCCAGTTAATGTAGGTATTCTTGCTACATTTCTCTTTTTATTTCATTTTAGAACAATATTCAAGTTTAGTGTGATGTTACTAGGTTCAAGCTGGAGTTACGGGACCCATTCCCGGGCAGAACAACATGCCTGGGTCTGCTCTAGTTCAGGCACAGCCTATAATATCCACTGTAAGAACTCAGCCTCAGGTAACTATATTTTATTATGCGAAAAGTTAACCAGTAATACATTTTTCGATCGGTAAATCTAGATTTGGTAGATTTGGCAAATTTGTAGATAATATTTAGAACATTTTAAAACCAATTACAAACAAGTATACATGTTCTATTCATTTCTGATAACTTTATCAATTTTTAGTATTCTTTCAGTATTTTGTCAACTGACAATTATTTAGAGTTTATTATTTATTTTTTAATCTATTCAATCATGCTTATTTGTTTCTATACCTAGGTCCATAGACAAACTCAACCCTTCAGTCAGCAGCAGCTTCGTTCTCTAGTTGCTGCATACCGTGTGGGAATGTTAGCATTGGAAACGTTAGCTCGTCGCGTACACGACGACAGACCTCAGGCAAAATACGCGCGGAATCCACCTTATGGGGAAGATGTGAAATGGTTGTTAAGAGTGTCGAAGCGTCTCGGCACACAATATCTTCATCAACTTTGTATTTGTACAGTGAACAGCATCGTTAGTCCCTTCGTTCTTCATGACGTTGCATTGGAAGCAGCGCTTTTTTTGGCTAGAAACAACCGGGCTCTTGTACTTCAACATTTGAGATCTGCTCTTTTGGCTCCTCTTGTCCTTAAGTGTCAACAAATGTTAGTTTCTTCAAATTCTTACTAGTATAATATTTTTTACAAGTACCATTAATGAAACTAGTTGAATAATGATATTTTCAATTATAAATTACAGGTACATTCAGTGCATGCATCAGAAGCTATACCACTTGACGGCAGGTGAGTACGAAGACTTTGTCAACGTAGTGTGCGCGGCTAGAGCAGCGTTTCACATTACTCCGGAGGGCCATGTTCAGTTCAAGGAGCGGCTTCAGTCCATTAAAAGGTATTATCTTACACCAATGATTATTCATTCCACCAGATCATTAAAGACTATCATTTAGAAAATTTTCACTCTTGACGACAGAGAACGGACCGTAGATGTTTATGCAAATTTATATTTCTATGAGTACGATGAAAGAAATCTAAGCCTATGTGCATATCATAATTGCATTAATTATAGTATCTAATTGAGTTAAAGCATATTAAATTATCATATAGTAATACATGAAACACATACAGTACATATGAAAATAAAATGTATAATACTTGATAAAAAATACGCTTCAATAGAAAATATGAGGTATGTCTTCTAACCACTATATTATCTGCATTCTTGTAACTTTAAATTTACCATAAATTCTTAAACATCTACGGTCTAGTAATGATAAAGCATAAATCCATAAAACTGATATTGGAAATATAATTTCATTTATAGATCTCAATCCTGTACCAAAGAACTGTGGGCACAAATCAACGCGGCACTACAACAGAACAGCAAATGACACAGAGCGGAGCCAGGCGTGACGTGGCTCACCTCCCTTCCTCACCCTCCACCACCTCCGCCTCCTCCTCCTTCTCCACCAACGACGACAACAACCCTCGTGCTTCAGCACCAGCATCCCTGTCATTCTCATCCACAGAGCGTCGTATGCGTTCACGGTCTGGCTACCCTCGATAAATTGGAACAGGATCTCCATAACGTGCATCATCGACGTACGACTGTCACGTCGGTGGCATCGATCTCGAACGACCATCGGACCATCAGAACTAGGGACGGCCGATAATCGCATGTTTATCTTCGCCCATTTCAAGGAAGAGAAACCAGATCGATACCATCGAACGGGAAAAATATATATGACTTTCTGACCTTAGTTAATGTGTTTGATAGAGATTGAACGAAAGGAAAAACGAGAGAAAGAGCATGCGCGTGAGAGAAACTATGATACTATATCTTTAATTAAGAGTGAAGTACGAATGTAAATGATAAAAAGAAAACGGTATGACGCCACGTTTTTTGCAATTTAGCAATTTAGACGTCACCGACAGTTTCCTGGAAGATCGAGGAACGCAATGTAGTAACATATTGAAGGCGCACCGTGTTGCGTACGTCGATCGCTAAAGGCACCACTTTTTTCCTGCGTTTCGAAAGAATAAAATAAAGAAAATAATTAAAAAAAATTGGAGGACTAAACAATAAGTAGATATATAAGAAAAAGAAGCAAAAAAGGAGAGGACGAAACGTGAAAGCATGATCAATGAATCAAAATTTCAGGTTTCGCCGGATGCGAGCAATCATTAATCGGGATTCTATCGAAGAATCGTTGGTTCCACAACTCGCGGAAACCTCTTTCTCTTTACTTTAGTTAAGACTCGATGAGAACGTCTTTAGTCTCGATTAGATAGGAAATTTTATTTTTCATTCATAGATAGGATGAATTATCTCGCGTTTTATTTTATTTTTGTAAACGAAATATAAGCAAATTTTTAAACTATCGATAAACGCATGTCTATTTATATAATGGAAAAATGACGAACAGCATCTTACTCTTTAATACGTAAGAAAGTTATTAACTTTACTTAAATCATAAAAGAAAACGTTGATAAAAGAAATTTTGTATACAGAAGAGAAGATAATTTTTACTTTTCCAAAAATGGTGACCGACCTGGTCCATCATTACTCTAACATCATCACACAGCACCTATCCTCTTTATTTTTTTTTCTTCGCCCCTTGGTTTATGTATTTTGCTATTAAATATATTTTAGTTTCTCTATTTGAATTTTCTTCATTCGCTATTGTCTTTTATTTTTATTTTTTTTTAATTATATTGTAAGCGTATATTATACACGTTTGCAAATATCTCGTTTTTTTGTCATTGGCGACAATCTATAAACGAAAACATGATCTCTGTAATTTTTAAAGTAAAATAATTTGAAGTATAAATAAAGCAAAATATATAGCTGATATCGATGATTCGAACTTGAGACACCTTTCCACATTGCTCTTTGTTATGCAAAGAAAATGAAAATCAATAATTGCTAAATATGTAATTTAGCAGAGTATATTCCATTTCCGTTTATGTCGTTTTCAATGCATTCAGTTATATTTCCTGATGAAATAAACGTTGTTTTTATCCATCCCCATATTCCATCATCAATCACGATATTTAAACATAAATCGCTAAGCATAAAATAATTTAACGAAGAATAATATACACTTGTGTCTATTTAAAAAATTTATTATAATTAAAAAGAAAGAACTTTTATCGCAATTAATACACAGTTAAGTTGAAGTAGCCTTTGGAAAATTTAACAACTTGAAATTTCAGAATTTTTGAAACTTCAATTAAGTGACACGTTCTACAGAGTTCTACATTTGTCTTACGTTACGTGCTTTCCTTTCATGAAGACGTTGTATTATTAAGGAAAGGAGGATGTAAAAGAAGAAATTTTAAATTATTAAGAATTTCATTTTTATAATCTAGGACAAGGATGATGTCGTCCTTCAATTCTTAATTAATATATCTTTTTTTTAATAGTGCCGAGCGACTGAACGTACATGTCTGTAGATAGTAAGAGAAAAGAAAAAAAGAACTATGGAAACCACCATTACATTAAGTCGACGTATTCGTTTCATTCGAGGGAGGAAGCAAAACAAAATAATAGTAAATGGCACTGCCACTAATCTAACCGCAACGGTGGTTATGGAAAGAGCAATATTTAAGCGTTTTACGTGTTCTAGTGCGATACCACGAGCATCAAAAATATAGTACTGTTTCGTGTTTCTACAGGGTTAAGGCTCTCGAAGAGAATCACTTGAAAAAATATCGTTTCATCATTCGACAGTTCCTAATTTTTATTCGTCAAAGATCATCGAGCAGAATTTAATAACTTTGAAACGATAATAAAACACGTTAGGAAGGAAATAAAATATTTATTTACAAAAAATTCGTTGAGATATTAAAAACGATTGAAATTACGATAATCTTTCAATTTCCTGTTTTCTCATCTCTAGTTATTTCGATGGTTTATCTCCACAGTTTGTTTGGTCGATTATAGTAATTTTTTCTTTGCTCTATTATTAGCGTAATCGTGGTTTTTAAGGAAGTGTGAGATATGTTTTGTCGAAATCGTTTTCCCAATGCATCAACGATAATATCTTATCGACATTGAATTATTTCTTCTAAAACGCGAAAAATAGCGTTGGAATAAACAAAAACTCGTTTAATCGAGATCTGAATTTTACCGTCTCCTTCGTCCTCGAACGGAATAAATTGATAGACGAGCCTTAACTCTCGTAAATTCCATCCAATTCGAAACGGGCAAGTACAGCAAATATTGTACAAATAATTCGTGTCACATTTATAGGTATGAATTACTTAAGATAGAGAGCGTTTTGCTCGTCATCCTTCGATATACGGGGTGGTTTGATATAAATTTTCATCGATGTAATCGAGTATTGATTATATTAGTAAATCGTTGAAAGGGAATGAGACTTCGCCATATTGCCCAGTAAATTATTAAGAGAAATAAATTTAAATTATATCAATGTGACGTTACGTTGTCCAACATTCTGAAATTAAATATTATTTCTAATGCAGACGCGTTTAAACTATAATTCTCATTGTCTATCGTACACGATACAATTCGAAATAATACTTCTCGTATAGTACTGTTTTGAACATTATTTCATCTGATTGTGGGTTTAAATATCCGGTATAATTACAAGGGATAGTTCGATTTGATGCATTTTATTCGCCACGTTGTAGTTTCGAAGGCATACAAATTGTATAAAACGCGTTATTTTCTATGCTTCGAATTTCCCGCTTCGTTTGATCGATCGAACGATCCCTCGAATGATCTCAAATCCATGAAGAATTTTAAATTATCGTAAAATGGTGGGTGATGAGACACGTGTGTACATTTCATTTACCGCCCTGTATGTACATAATATGAATACGAGCTACGATTGTACGGTGATCTATAGATGGTAAAATTGATACATAAAATGAAGTAGCGTTTGCTCTAGGCCCACTTCTCAGCGTGTGTGCATAATGTGCATATTACGATATCGATTAATAGCGATTATCCATAGGCGTAAACAACCTCACTAGCCTACTTAGCATTTAGAACGATTCTAGCGATTAACAATCCCATTTTTTCACTCAGACGTAATGCGAAACTTTGATCAGTCGCTGGAAGCATCCTTTCAAGGATCGATTGTAAAAGAAAACGGAGAAAGAGATCCCAAACTCGAATGTAGAACCGCTAGATTCCCTTTGCTCCCTAAAGCGTGATGTTTTTTCGAGTGAAACTTAGGTTAGAATAAACCAAATTGAAATACTATGAACGGTTTGTGGAAATATTTCAAATATTGCTATCTCGGATGATGGTAAGCCAATTGTAATCATTAAAGTCGAAACGAGTTAGTAATAATCATGTAGATTTCATTCGATCCATCATACAAGTCGATTATGTTTCTTTTTTGATCAAGTTGTTCGTTATCGTCGGGTTGTTTTCGACGATTATTATCGATATTCATTTGACGCGTGAACTTTATGGTTGGAAAACATTAAAATAGAAAAAACACTCACGTTTCTACATGAAAGTGTGAAAAAGTTGGGACCTAACTGCTCTTGGCGTCCCATGTTCAGCAGATGTTCTATGGTACACCAAATTATGGAAAAACTTTTACAAGTCAGACGTGTTAATATCAAAATTCAACAACTTAACAAATTACATTCAACTCACATTGTCAAAAAATAAATTTCCCCACCGTCATCGCTCCATATTTATGTTTAAAGATCTTTCTTAAAAATCTTCTTAGATTTGGTGTTCTTAGAACATTTCCTGAACATTATTCTGTATTACATTATCCTACTGCATATTTCTCAGTTTTAGATGAAAAGCCGCGAAAAAAAAGATAAGATGCAGAAGAAAGAAGATATATGAGGCGATAAAGTATCTATTTTTACACTTGACTGAAAAATGCTGAAGAAAATTGCGAAGAAAAAAAAAGAAAAGAAGAAGATGAAAAAATAAGTTTCCTCTCGATTCGAAGTATTTAGTCATTTGATAGAAATTAAAGATTCTCCGTGACCCGATCTTCTATGAACAAAAGGTACATACTTACATATATTTATACGTAGAAATAACAAAAAAAAGAGGGAGAGAAGAAAAAAAGAAAAACGCGAAGACGCAGGATAATGAATAGAAAATAAAATCAATGTCTGTAAATAATCGCAGATCGTTCTTTTTCGCGTGCGGACAAATCGACAGAACATTTTTTTGTATCGCTAATCGCGCAGATAATTACCGAATAATCGCTGTAGACCAACGCTACCGGCATCGATCCTCGATCGAGGTCGTGGCGTGACTTTAGAATTTTTGTCTAGCTGTTATTGCAATTCGAGTTGCACTATAAGCTTCGTAGAAACACAAGGTCCGACGCGTGACTTCATAATTATGTATGCATAAATGAAACAGAGTGAAGTCGATTTCGTTGGAAAAAGAAGGAGAAATCTCTTCGATTTTAAGAAAAAGATTAATGGATTCAGTCGACAGCTATAAGATTGTACATATACGTTTACGGCCACATTACACTAATTATAAGTATAACGAGTTACTTAAAAAGCGTGTGCAGAAAGAAATTAGTCGAAGGTTAAGCAACCTCGAAGATAAGATCTTTATGAGTATTTCTTTCTTTAAAATCGTCTATCGAGCGAGATGAAAAATAAAAATATAAAAAAAGCCAAGATGGAATATAACGAAATGGATCGTTCTATTTAATGTTTTTCATCTCTTTCGGATGATCGATAAGAGAAAGGAGAACGTGCCCGCTATTTCATTGAACTTTGTGCGTTGAGTTCGTACATATATTGTAAATTGAGCGAAGAAGTGAGAATGATAGGGCTTTTGGGATTTTCAGTAACGTTTAGACTCGCGAATAGTAGGTTATGCGATTCTGTGTTCAATCAAGAGAAATATTCGAGGTTAGGATATTGTCTCGACAGGTTCTTGTGAATGCAATTTTTGGAGGCGCATAGGTATTCAGAAAAATAAGAAAAAAGAAAACACTGAATAACGCTCCATCGAGTGTACTCCGATGTAATTTCGAGTAATCGTAGTGTTTGCTTTTAAGGTGAAAAAGAATAAGTTCTATAGCCTGCGAAGTTGCGTTACGATATAGT